TTCAATTCCCCTATAGCGCATGTCTTTGGACTGTGGGGGAAACCGGAGCACCTGGAGGAAACCCAATAATCAGTGCTACCAATAATATTGCTTTAGTTAATAATTAGTAATAAATGATTACTATTAATAATGATACACCATAACTACTTACAATAATACGTACAATAATACATAATGCATTTTTTATAAATCGCATGATGTTCCTTTTACAGTCTTTTACGTAGACATCACTCAATGTTAAACATATAATAATCTGACAAATATCTATTTCTCCTTGTCCAAAGGCGATTGCACATTATGAACAAGCCGCTGACTATTATAAAGGAGAGGAATCAAACAGGTAAGCCTGCATTACAGAAGACATAATATCAAGCTTTTTTGTCTCCATGTATAACCACTTTGTCTCTAAGGTCAATTGTGGCATTTTGAATGTTAGTTTAAGCCTTGATGTGGTGTTTGCTTCATTTACAGCTCTGCAAACAAGTGTCTGCTAAAGGTGGCTTCATACAGCGCTCAGTTAGAGCAGTACCAGAAAGCAATAGAGATTTATGAGCAGGTAAAGCATCTGTGGCAGATTCTTCCAGAGTTACTCGCTCTCCTGCGGTTGCTAGTATTGTTAATTTGACATCACAGTCTACAGTCAAACAAATATAAAAATAATTGCACGCAGAGAAAAAGTTACACTACATTTACACTAAACGGAGTTACTGGACCATCAAAATATTTAGTTTTGGTTTGTACATTCAGTTATTCAATATTTAAAAACAGTTCTTTAACAAACTGATTTTGTAATAAATAATATACGTCTTGTACAGTATTGCATTAGTAAAAAAAAAAACATTGAATAATATTTCAGCAATCAAGTATAGTTTAGGTCAACATTTAGTTGCTAAAATATGAAATATTTTAAATTTCTTTTATTCTTTCCTCCCATTGCCATTTCACACTAGATGTACAGATAAAATCGTTAGCTCTCCTATGATAATTTTGCCCAATATTTCCTAAGTGCTGTTTAAAGGAGAGATTGTTTTCCAACATATTATTAAACAATAATTTTAATGAATGATTTATAAAAACGAATTACTTCAATGCCATTAGAACAGACAGTATATATAACAGCCAATAATATTGACTAAATATATTATTATTATTATTTTTATTAAAATTTTATTGAAGGGCAAAATGTTTGTTTTTGACTGTATGTTATTTATTACCAATACTTTATAAATTTGTGGTTTATTTTAAACTACATTAACAATGCAAATATAAAATTAAACAATTCCTTATATTAAGTGATTGGTAACAATCTTGTTCTGTCATTAATACAGGGTAACATTTAAAGTATTTGCTGCAATCTTGAATGTTGAAGTCTGTATATATATATATATATATATATATATATATATATATATATATATATATATATATATATATATATATATATATATATATATATATATATATATATATATATATATATATATATATATATATATATATATGTGTGTGTGTGTGTGTGTGTATATATATATATATATATATATTAACATAAATAAATATAAGAAAGGGGGGGGGGTGGAGGCAATTGGGAGATGTTTCATATACTTAAGTATATGTAATGTAGCTGTTAATTAAATCTATGTTGTTCATTTAAAGTTATTCATATATAATTGTTAGAATTGGGTTCCATATTGCTTCAAATATATTCATCTGGAGTCTGAGGCAAGAAGTTATTCTTTCAATTTCATAAATTTCTCCGTTACTGTGTTTGATTCGGAAATATATGCATGAAATAAATGCAGACCTCTACTTCCAGCTGCAACCCAGTACTGGGAAACATCCATGCACACTCATTCACACACATACACTACAGCCAATTTAGTTTGTTCAATTCCCCTATAGCGCATGTCTTTGGACTGTGGGGGAAACCGGAGCACCTGGAGGAAACCCAATAATCAGTGCTACCAATAATATTGCTGTAGTTAATTAGTAATGAATGATTACTATTAATAATGATACACCATACACCATACTACTTACAATAATACGTACAATAATACATAATGCATTTTTTATAAATCGCATGATGTTCCTTTTACAGTCTTTTACGTAGTCATCACTCAATGTTAAACAAATAATAATCTGACAAATATCTATTTCTCCTTGTCCAAAGGCGATTGCACATTATGAACAAGCCGCTGACTATTATAAAGGAGAGGAATCAAACAGGTAAGCCTGCATTACAGAAGACATAATATCAAGCTTTTTTGTCTCCATGTATAAC